AGGTGTCTTTTCCCTAGGGTGGGGGATTTCAAGACTAAGAGACATATTTGTAAAGTGAGAAGGGAAAGATATAAAAAAGACATAAGGGGCATTTTATTTTTGCGCAGAGTGTGGTTTATGTGTGAACTTCCAGACGAAATGGTGGACATGGTACAGTTACATCGCTTAAAAGACATTTGGATAGGAACATGAATAAGGAATATTTGGAGGGATATGGGCCAAGCACAGGCAGTTGGGGTGAGTTTAGTTTGGGATTATGGTCGGCATGGACTAGTAGGAGCGAAGTGTTTCATTCCATGCTGTATGACTCTGTGACTCTAAAATGTGAGGCTAGCTTCAAACACAATTCATGGATGCAGAGTAGAGGGAATGGGTCGCAGAAAAATGGAGCTGGAACAAGGAAGATGAGGAGGCCACTCAGCCCTTTGAGCATGCTCTGCCATTCAATAAGACCATGGCTGATCCGATTTTTTTTAACCATAACTCTGCATTCCTACGTATCTTTGAAAATCCCCTTGGGAATGAAGAATCTGTCTACCCCTCACTTAAAAATACTTAAAGATTCTCCATCAACTGCCTTTTGAGGGTGGGAATTCCGAAGACTCTCAATCCCTAAATGGGATTTAGGGAGGAGTTGATGGGGTTAAACAATCCCCGGAAGCAAAAGCAGAGATTGCTGGAGAAACTCAGCAGGTCGAGCAGCATCTGTGGAGAGAGAAAGCAGAGTTAACCTGAAGGGTCACTGGATTCGAAATGTTAACTCTGTTTTTATTTCCATAGACGCTGCCAGACTTGCTGACTTTCTCCAGCGATTTCTGCTTATTTCAGATCTTCAGCATCCACTGGTCTTAATTTTATTTTAGTAAGCCCCAGAGTAATCATAGAGTCATACACCACAGAAACAGACCCTTCAGTCCAACTTGTCTGCGTCGACCTGATATCCTAAACTGAACTAGTCCCATTTGCCTGCATTTGGCCCATATCTCTCTTAAACCTTTACCGTTCATGTACCCATTCTGATGCCTTTTAATTGTACCAGCCTCTACCACCTCTTCTGGCAGCTCGTTCCATGCACGCACCACTCTGTGTGAAAAAGGCGCCCCTCAGATCCTTTTTTAATCTTTCACCTCTCACCTTAAACCTATGCCCTCTCGTTCTGTACTCCCCTACCCTGGGCAGTTCACCCTATCCATCCCCTCATGATTTTTAAACCTCTGTAGGGTCACTTCTCAGCTTCTGATGCTCCAGGGAAAATAGCCCCAGCCTATTTAGCCTCTCCCTATAGCTCAAACCCTCTAGTTCCACAGACTTGCTCCTAAACATTTAACGATTGTTTGTGTACAGACCAGTAGTTTTTCTGCTTCTACATATGTGGGCTTTTTAAGTGTATTCTAATTAGTCTGTATTTAAAAGTAGCATACTAGCGCTTGGCCTAAATATTCACGTTTCCCTCACTCTGCCAACAATTACTCGGTACTCGCCTGGGAGAATTTAGACTACAGACATAATCACAGGCATTACCCCTCAGCAATTTAAAAAGTAATCTTTTTTAATGTCCTTGACAATTCTGAGGCTCTTTTCTGCCCTCGCTCTCTCCCAGATTGTGTGACCGTTGAATTTATTAATGCTTCTGCCTCAGCCAAGTGATCATTTCTCTGAGCAGAACGTTAGCCTATTTGGCCTGGGGTGGGGGTGGGTGGGGGGCCTCAGCACAGGTTGTGAAGCCTCATCCCTTTGACCAACACACCCGGAGAGGCTGGGAAACTGTTGGCAACTGGAGAGATGGCTGGGCATTCTTCTCTTGAGTGTCACTTTGTTGTGGCCAGTTGTAATCTCCCTTTCCCTAATACACCAGCTTTGTTGGTGCTAAGTTCTGGATCTCCAGAAAATTATCTCCATTTGATTTTGAATTATCCCCATTAAAATACCACAGAGCAGAACAGCACAGAAAATGGCCAGTCTGCTCATGGTCTCTGAGCTAGCAGTTTGTACACAAACAATCGTTAAATGTTTAGGAGCAAGTCTGTGGAACTAGAGGGTTTGAGCAATAGGGAGAGGCTAAATAGGCTGGGGCTATTTTCCCTGGAGCATCAGGACTCGATCCCATTGCTCTTGTCCCCTAACCCCCGTAGCCTTTTCTTCTTCAATTGTTCACTGTATTTCTTCCACTACCGTGTGTTTAATCTTCAGACAAGACCCTGAGGTTCCAGTTGTCTCATTTTAAATCAGCCCCCCATCTCTCTCAGACTGACCTGTCTGTCCTTGGTCTGCTGCATTCAGTTGGCAGTGGAAATCAGTGGGAGCATGAGGAATGGCCCATCATTCTCCAGTAAGGCTGTTTCTAGCCTTCCAGTCGCAGCACTTGAGTTCAGCAATTTCAAATCAAGGTAATTGTTCCTTTTTTTTAAATTGGGCAGCAGCAACTGCTGATGTTTCTGTTTTATCCTTTCCTCTGGTGGTGTCGTGATAGTGCCCTAGTAGTCTCCCTTTACCGGTGCTCTTGGTATTTAATTGAACAATATACTTCACCTGAGTCAGGATGCCTGGTTACAAGTCCCACCTGCTCCAGAGATGTGTAATAACATCTCTGAACAGGTCGATTGGAAAAATCACAGTCAGAGTTACAGTCATTGAGTCATACAGCATAGAAACCCCTCGGACCAACTAGTCCAGTTGAACATAATCCCAAACTGAACTAGTCCCACCTGCCTGCTCCTGGCCCTTATCCCTCCAAACCTTTCCTATCCATGTACTTGTCCAAATGTCTTTTAAATGTTGTAAACTGTACCCACATCCACCACTTCCTCTGGCAGTTCATTCCACATGTGGACCACCCTCTGTGTAAAAACAAATTGCCCCTCATGTCTTTTTTAAGTCTTTCTCCTCTCACCTTAAAACTGTACCCCCTAGTCTTGAAATCCCCCATCCTAGGGAAAAGACAACTGCTATTAACTCTATCTATTACCCCTCCCCCAGGATTTTATAAACTTCTATAAGGTCACCTCTCAACCTCCTACGCTCCAGTGAGAAAGATCCCAGCCTGTCCAGCCCTCTCCTTATAACTCAAACCTTCCATACCCGGCAACATCCTGGTAAGTCTCTTCTGAGCCTGCTCCAGCTTAATAAAATCCTTCCTATAACTGGGCGACCAGAACTGGACACAGTATTCCAGAAGAATGAGGAAGAAGGGATAAATATCAGTGATGAGGGCCAGGAGTTTGAGAAAGATCTCACATTTGCTGGTGCTGACGCCCTGAGATCTGCTGACTAAGCGATGAATGAGCCTCAACTTCCCCCAGTCTCCACGGCTCACTGTTCAGTCGAAGTGCCTATAGGAAGCCAGAGTTTCATATCTTTAATTTCTGCTGATCAAAGTAATGGGATTGTTGCAAATGTTGTTTCTTTGTTAGTCACTCAGCAATTAGTCTGTGTTTGGATGAGATTGTGGTAAACAGGTGTCACCAATGTGGCGACGGCCTGCGTGTTATAAAGCATGCGCAATGTATGGGAAAACAATCCTTTTCCATAATAGTCTTACAGTCACGTTGCTTCAAAATAAACTTGTGGGGTAAATGGTTGCCAAGTGAGATTGTCCAGATTGGGTTTGAATACACTGCACAAGAGGCAGTGAAAGTCTACTTTACTAAAGCAAAGTATTCAGTCTTTACAATGCTGCATTTCAGAAACATCTTCAGGCATCCAGTGGTCCACTTTGAAGCGTAATGGCAGTTTTGTGCAGGCAAGTGTGGCAGACACATAAGTGCGTAGCAACACTTCAAGGTCAGATGATTGACCAGTTCACCTGCATTTGGTGGTCATGGTGATTGAGGAAGGAGTGTTGTTGGAGCTAATTGTCCTTAAGTTATATATTTTTTTCCCTCCTTCAGGTTACCTTGCGCGTCATTGTGGGTTGGAAATGTCACTGTTCATGTCAAGGAAAAACAGCTTAAAGATCTGTTTAGAATGTAAGTACACAACATGCTCAGAGCTTGCAGGTTACCAAACTGTCATGAAGCGGAGGATGTAACAGGGAGCGCGGTGACCTAGTGGTATTAGCACTAGGTCACTATTAACCTAGAGACCCAGGTAATGTTCTGGGGATCTCGGTCCAAATCCCACCACGGCAGATGGTGGAATTTGAATTCAATAAAAATCTGGAATTAAGGGTCTAATGATGACCATGAATCCATTGTTGATTGTCGGAAAAATTCATCTGGTTCACTGATGCCTTTTAGGGAAGGAAACTGCCATCCTTACCTGGTCTGGTTCTAGACCCACAGCAATGTGGTTGACTCTTAACTGCCCTCTGGGCAATTAGGGATGGGCAATAAATGCTGGCCCGGCCAGTGAATTTAAAACAAAATCAGTCAAATTAGCCCCTCTTGTACATTCTGCCCCCTTCGTGGAGTCTAAACACTTACCCGTCTGAGGGAACATTTTGTATCATCACAGTCTGATTCACAGTGCTATTAAACACAACTCCAGATCTCACTAAAGTGCTGATGCCCTTCAAAGGCATTTTAGTTTTGGATCAGTTTAAATCAAAATTATTGCAGTGAGCAAGGTGTAAGCGATGACAAGATTTATTCAGATAAAGAAGGTGCTTTGGGCCATTTTATCTCAAAACCTCAACATTACAAATGCTGCCACAGCGTTTGGTGATCTTTTTGATGAGTTGAGTGTCGAGGCTGCAATTCCTGTCCATTTCAGCTCCTACACCCTGGTTCAAATGTAAACTGAACCAATGGGCTTTAAGTCTCTGAATGCTGACACCAGTCTCCAAGTGAAACATGTGGCGACCTTGCAAGCTGCATTGTGAATGCACCTTCACAACAGGAGGTGATGAAGATGATTGATGAGCGAAAAGCAGTTGATGCTGCCTGCATGGAATTCAGTAAAGCCTTTGACAAGGTACCTCATGGCAGACTGGTACAAAAGGTGAAGTCATATGGTGTCAGGGGTGAGCTGGAAAGATGGATACAGACCTGGCTTAGTCATAGGAGACAGTGGGTAGCGGAAGGATGCTTTTTAGAATAGAGGTTTGTGACTAGTGGTGTCCCACAGAGATCAGTGCTGGGACCTCAGCTGTTTGTGATCTACGTAAATGATTTGGAGGAAAACATAGCTGGTCTAATTAGTAAGTTTGCAGATGATACAAAGATTGGTGGAATAGTGGATAGTGAGGAGGATTGTCAGAAGATACAGCAGGATATAGATCAGAAAAATGGCAGATGGAGTTTAATCCGGACAAATGTGAGGTGATGCATTTTGGAAAGTCAGGTACAGGTGGAAATTATACAGTGAATGGCAGAACCCTTAGGGCTATTGATATGCAGAGGGATCTAGGTGTACAGGTCCACGGATCACTGAAGATGGCAGCACAGGTAGATAAGGTAGTAAAAAAGGCTAATGGCATGCTAGTCTTCATTGGAAGGAGCATTGAGTATAAGGATAGACAAGTAATGCTGCAGCTTTATAGAACTTATTGCATACAGTTCTGCTCACCACACTATCAGAAGGATGTGAATGCTTTGGAGAGGGTATGGAGTTTAGCTTTGAAGAAAGGTTGGATAGCAGGAACGCTGATGCCTCAGGCCTAGACCCTTCATCAGAAAGGAGCATTCCTGCTCCTATGATGCTGCTTGGCCTGCTGTGTTCATCCAGCTCTACACCTTGTTATCTCCGATTTTCCAGCATCTGCAGTTCCTACTATCCTGGATAGACTGGGTTTGTTTTCACTGGAATGCAGGAGGTTGAGGGGTGACCTGATAAAAGTTTATAAGATTGTGAATGGCATGGATAAAGTGGAAAGTATGAGGCTTTTTTCCCAGGGTGGACAGGTCAATTACTAGGGGACACAGATTCAAGGTGTGGGGAGGAGGAGTTTAACAGAGATGAGCGAGGCACATTTTTCACATAAAGGGTGGTGATTACCTGGAATGTGCTGCCAGAGGAGGTGGTGGAAGCAGGCATAATAGCAGCGTTCAAGAAACACCTGGACAAATAGATGAACAGGAAGGGAATAGAGGGATACGGATCCTGTAAGTGAAGACCGTTTTAGTATGGAAGGGCAAAATGTGTCAGCGCAGGCTTGGAGGGCCGAAGGGCCTGTTCCTGAGCTGTGTTGTTCTTTGTTCTTTAAACCATTTCATAGGATGTACCTGAGCCAATAAAGTACGATCTGAAGTGCAATCACTGTCATCGTACAGGAAATACAGCAGCCAATTTGAACCATACCAAAACACACTCAAAGGCAGTCTATACTCATCCAGTAAACTGTTAGCAATCTGGTTTTCCCAGTTTGTGTAGATTAAAGTCACTCACGATTACTGCGGACACTTTGTCACAAGCACGCAATATTTCTTCTCGACTACTTTGTCATTGGGGGGGTTCCACGCCCCCATTTGTAACTTTTTCTCCTGCTTGATGTTGGCCTAACATTTAGTAGGATGTAGGACCATGAGCCTTTTACATCTTGAGGGATATCCCAATGTAGCGTCTGGTAGAATTGAAATTTAACTCATCAGCTTGAAATGGAAACTTACTGTCACTGAAGGTGGGCATCAAACTGTCATCAATTATCATTAACAAAACCCACTAATCTTTAGCGAAAGAGATCAGCCATTATTACCTGGCCTGGCTTGTATGTGACTCCAGACCAACCGCAATGTGGCTGACTCTTAACAGCTCTGAAATGGCACACATTTGGTTCAAGGGCAGTTAGGAGCTGGCACGCATGCCATAAAAGAAAAGAAGGAAAAATAACACCTGACAGAGAGAGACAGAGAGAGAGAGACAGCGAGAGAGAGAGGGCAGAGAAAGGACTCAAGGTTGGAGTCTCATCTCAAAGACAGCGCCACCAAAAGCTCAGTATTCTCTCCATAGTACGCACCAAGTGTGACTCCTGATATTTGCGCACAGCTCTTTGGAATCGGATTATAAACCTTCAAGCCTCTAAAAATTCCACTTTAACCAATGCGCTATCTGTTACATTTAATATCTGGGATATGCATTTCATTGAAAGTCATTATTGTTGATGCCTGTTAGTCCTGTAGCTGGTACCTTGACAGGCTGTTCCAGTGTTAAAGCTGTCATACTGCATGGTTCTAATGTTACAGTTTGGATATATCATTTTGAGGTAATCTGGTTCCAAAATATCACTCAAAATTACTTCTGAATATGTTTTTCAGTTTTCAATGTATCCTGTGTGTTATGAACATTTTTAAAAATCTCAAATTAAGGAGTTAAACATACTATAAAAACTATATATAACATACAATCATGTCATTACATTCTAAACAAAATTATCTTTTGCAGGCCTTTATTAAAGTTTTCTTTTTGGGGAAGCCTCAGGTTTTTCCCACAAGCCTGAACGTGGAGATTTTTTTAACCTCGAGCTCTGTCTCCTGGCGAATGCTGTATTCATTTAGAAATGGGAATACAGGGAGTATATGGGATGGATAGTGAGGGAAGGGACAGGAAGCAGAATTCAATCAGGCTGTTCAACATACAGACAGCAGTGTTAGCGTGGAGGTGGTGAGAAAGGCAGAAACAGTGGCCCAGGCTTTGGGATGTATTGGGGGAACAACCAGGAGAACAGAATATACTTTGTTGTCATGTGTACTCCAGTACAGGAGGACTGTGAAAAGTTTTTACAATGGCTGTCTTCTAATGGTACCATTACACATTCCCCTCGCACTGCTCTGGGACTCCCTTCCCCTCGCACTGCTCTGG